GGGGGGGGGGGGGATCTATTCTGTGAAAGATGGGATCTGTAAATGCAAATTTGTTGAGAGTTCATCTTTTTGAGATCTTCAATGGTGTACTCAGGGTGATAACCAATGAAGACTTCGGCCTATCAAGCCTGCTTTCCTTGTTGAAACCCCACAGAAGGCCTAGTAAGTGAGAGATGATTATTAGTAAGAACTAATTGACTGCATGCGAATGCGATTGCTTACCTCTCTTAGTCAAAGTCAACTTTATTGACCATTAACCACTAAGGTCTTTGAGAACCACTTACAGACTAACAGCTTACGAAAGATCAAAGTGGATGGGATTGTTTATGTAAAACAGAGTATTACCTAAAGTAATTCATGTTATCAAGTTGTATTACTTTGGTCAAACTGACATTATGTGATGCACACATGTATTGTTTCTCCGCTGTTGTTGTCAAAAAGGATATGTGTAAAGAGCATCGTGCGACCTTATAGTGCATTAAGGAGGCTCCTTATTAAATCTGTTCTTGGTTTATCAGGATACTCCATTGTCTTCTCCGCCACCTGATGAGAAGAAACAAAACCCCTCTCCTGTTACGAAGCCAAAGGATGCTCCAACGACAAATTCCTCAGATGATGAATCTAAGGGCATGAATGATGCTAACACCAAGGCAAGTTCTGAAAATTCTAGCGATAAGACACAAGATAAGGGGAAGAGTCATGATGGGAAAGAGAAAGTGGAAAACCAAACGCAGTTGAAAACATTTGCCAGCAAATATTGCAAGGGGAATCCGTTTTGCAGTGACCAGGAAAAAACCATGATCGCATGTATTCAAGATATTGAAAATGGTAAAATTGTCTCTCCTCATTCCATTTGTTTGAGCTCAGTACTGTGAATCGGTTCAGCTAGCTGCTAGCTTTCAACATATGTTTTTGTTGTATGCTTTAGTAGCCATTAGGTTCAGCATGAACATAGTCAACTGGAGATCTCATTTCTTTATGCTAATTTAAACGAAGTATTGAACCTTGCCATATCTAGAACATTACCTGTTGATATAATATCAATCAGTGGAACCATGAACTAGTTCTGAGGGAAATGGTAGGAATGCCTTTCTTTTCATAATTTCTATGAGTTTACAAGACTAGGCTCAATGTAGATATGTTTGAGACATCTGATTTAGAATGCATGGTTCATGGAAACGCCCACACACGTCCCTAATTGTTAGATGAACTGATTGTCTTGTTGATGCTTACTTGAGTTGATTTTATGTAAAGGATTTTATTCTTGATGCTCAACTAAAACTCAAAGCCTGACATTGCTAGCATCAGCATTCATGGATTTTAGATTTGAAAATGCATATTCTGACGACAGAATTTAGCAGAAAAAAGTTCTATTTTCATTAAGTATGCGAGTATAGGTGTCTTTGTAACGTAAAATAGTTGTAGCAAGCACCTTACTCTTTACAAAAGGTTTCAGAAACGACAAGTGAAAAATAGCAGCGGTGTAAATGAACAGACCCTTGTTTATACTTTATTACTAAAAATCATAATGAGTATTGCCTATTGCCTGTATATATGCCTACAATAATGCTCTCTAGGAAATAAGTTTATCTGTCAAAGCAAAGACTTCCTGATCTGACTACGGATAGTAAAGATGTTTCACCAAATAAATGTCGAGCCAAAGTTTTAAACATCTATCAGGTTGATGCATTTTAGCTTGTGTATGAACGCCAAACATGCCCAACTGCATGGATATGATCAAACACCCTATGGATGGCCCTGGTGAGAATATTGTTTGTTTTTCTGAGGTAACAAAATGGATGGAAACAAGGTGCTACTCTGTTTTTTCTTAGTGAAATTTCGATCATCCCTTACCTTCTTTATAAGATCATGCCAAACAGTGTTGTAGCAGGAATAATAAAATATTTACTCTGTAAATAGCATCCTCACTGCATGTGACATTTGATGTTCTATGGTGAGCTTGAGATAATACAATATATTTGTGCGGGTTACCGCACAAATGGACACGGGATTGCAAGTAGCTCTCTCTCTCTCTCTCTCTCTTTTTTCCCACTCTTTATTCACGTGTTTGTGATAGAGAACAAGTGGATGTTCAACAGTGCCTTCTCATTTGTTTGTAGCTCTGTAAGCTTGGTGATTAAGGAATATTAGTGTAAAAAAATCAGACAGTGGCATCTGCACTAGAGAGAGAGAGAGAGGAGGGATAATTTGGAAGAAACCCAACTATCGTTATACCTTATTAGTTTATGTATATGGATGTGAGAGAAGAGGATTATACCATCAACTTTTCAGTTTGATTTTGATTTTATAGAGACAATAAACACATAAATGTACAATTACATATAACCTTATATACATGTACATATACCCATCTATATCCAAACAAGGTCTACTACATGGTGTTGGGGGTTACCCACATCACAGATAAGTTGAGAGAAGGAAGATTTCAGTGGTTTGGCAATGTTTGTAGGAGACACATGGCCGCTTCGGTGAGGGAGCGAGGAGGAGGGGTAGGCCGAGGAGGACTTGGCATGAACAACTTAGGTTAGACATGGCGGCTTTAGGCATTTCCGAAGACATGACCTCTGATAGGATTTCTTGGAGACACAAGATTAGTGTAGCAGATTAGGGGTTAGGTTTGTATAACCAAAGTTGTTAAAGGCTCAAGGCGCACTTAGTCGCAAAGGGGCCTAGGGGAGAGGCGCATGCTTGGGCCTTAGGAAAGTGAGATGCATCTTATAAAAAAGTATATATATATATATATATACACACACACACACACACATTCACAGTTATACACAACTCAAATATGTAGCAAGTACTCCAGTGCAACAACCAACTGTACATCGATAGAAGCAGAAGGGAGAAGAGTTTAATGCGTTAGCCATGAGGGAGAAGTTTTAAAGTTTGGGTATTTATAGAGAAAGAGGCATGAAGTTCTAAGAATTGGGTATTCTTAGGCTTTGACTAATATCATCTATTTAATAACTCTTCTTTTAAGAAGTCTAGGAGATAATAAGATGAGAAAACTTATTTAATATTGTGGTTTGACTTGGTATCTAATAACTCTTTATGAGGCTCGCCTAGGGCTACAAGGCGCCTCAACAAAGGCGCAAGGCCTTAGGGAGCCTCGTGAATATGCCTAACCTTACTTTAAAAAAGCCCAAGACCTTGAGCCTTATGAGCCCTAGAGCCTAGGCGCGCTTTTAACGACTATGTGTATAACTAGACTAGACGGGAGGAGGGGATCTGGAGAGGTAGAGGATAAGGTTGGTTATCCGACTTAAATCCTAGGTTATACTAGGGGTGCATAGTCCTAGTTTAACTCGTTTTTCAAATCTTATTGCTTGCAAGTTCTTTTTCAAATGTTATTCTTATGATCTTTGTTTGCAAAACTTTAAAAAACCTTAATCTTTTTTTTGGCACACTATGCACAAGGCGAAGGTCTTCATGGGAGGTCAGGTCAGTGTAAATCATACCTTCCTCAAACCCCGCCTTCCTTCGGGTGGGATATACCGAGTTTATTTGGTTTCATTGGTAGACATCCATATCACATACATAAATTTACATATCTATATATGTAGATATGTATACAAGTACATATTACATGTGTATATCAATATATCTATCTATATGTGTGTATATATATATATATGTATGGGTATATATGCATATAACATATATACATGTACGGAAACAACTTCTCTACCAAGGGGTAGAGGTAAGGTCCGCCTACATCTTACCCCGACCCTACCTTTGCGTGGGTTTTCTAGGTCGGTTTTCTTTGGTTTTATTTATGCATATGTGCATGTATGTGATTCTATATATATGCACTCATGCCCGCGCACACACATATATACACTCTCTTATAAAGCATTTAGCTAAAACTCATAAATTTCTAGAGTACAACATTTATGAAGCCTCAAGTACAAATCACTAATGCATTAAGACTATAAGAGTAATATTTTGTTGAGAATTTATGGAAAAAATAGGTGGAGTAGGCTCTATGCTTATAAAAGGAGTCCATGACTCTGGTTTCAAATCGCTCCAATGAAGTGCACTTTAAGTATTAGAATCCTTTCTTTCTTATTATCTTGCTATAGAGTTTAGAAATGTGAGTTAAATCTTTGGAGAGTGTTGGTGTAATTTTTTTTTTGGGGGGGGGGGGGGGATCTTGAGAAATTAGTTTGTGTGATTGTAATAATTTTTCACATAGTGGATTCTCTAGCTCGTGTTTCCTAAAAGATTAAAAAAATCAAAAGAATTTAGAATATTTACCTATTTATGTAAAGATGTGTATGATCACATATGATTGTAATTTTTATTTTGTTTAAATATAAATTTTGGATTTTCTTTTTTAACAAGGAATTGCATTTCGGTTTTGTGATAAAATTTTACATTTCGTTTCATCGCAGGGTACACAACTAGTATAGATGTACATGTACACGCACACACACATATATATTGTTATGCATATATTCTCTCATTTTTGTTTTTAGGGCAGGCCTCGTGACAAACATCCTTTCATGGTAGCAACTTACTTGCTTAAATGCTTCCTACCAACTAGTGTACAACATTAAAGACTTATCACTCCCAAGTTCTGTGCGGCCTTATCATAAAAACTTTATACCTTTTAGCTAAGTTAACCTAAAAGAAAACGAGAAGACCTAAAGGAAACACATCTTATTTTATTGGTTTGTCTCTTACATTTATTCCTTGCTTGACCATTTGATTCCATGAGGGTGGCCTCCTGCTTTTTTTGGAGGGTTCAACCCTCTGAAGAAGCTAGATACATCAAGCTTCAAGGTTCTACTATGTTATCCACAAGACTATTACCACCACTATTAATATTTGATGATGAAAAGACGATGGCATCCTGAAAGGCTGCTTTATGCGAAGCATACATGCACCACTGCTTATATTTTACATTCATTTCTAGTTACACTCTAACTATAATAGTTCTACTTCTCAGTGGAATTTACCTTTTTTTTCCCTTCTTTTTGCTCCTTAGCTCTTTGATCTTGCTTATTTCAATCCACACATGCTTAACCATCTCCTTCGTGCAGGTACCAACAAGCTGACACTTCTTGTGCGAAATGAACGAGATAAACCCTTGAAAGTGAATGTCACTTTGGGGACATCTGTGAACAAATATTTGCCAGCTTTTGATATACCCGGTCATGGGACTGAAAAGGTTTGATTTTAGTTACAGCTGCCTTAAAAATTTCGCTTTTGATTCATCTGAGCATTAATGTATGATGTTTGCAAAGGAAGGCTAAAATTTTGAAGATATTTAAAGCCATCAGGACATGGTTATTGTTTAAACATACGAGTTTACGGGCAATCGTGGCACGATCATGTCCAACCCTTAAGGGCAACATGATTGTGTCCACCATTTCTGGCAAACAGAATGGTTTTGGGAAAATCAACAAATTCATGTCCTGTAATTACATAGAACAGAAACATTTTGCAGACCACCTCACAATCGTGTGTGAGAATACAACAGGATCGTGCAAAGGGCTTAGTCAAGATTTTTATATATACCCCCCTTGTTTTCACTTTCCCACCTATGTCATGTGGGATAACTCTCAAAAACTCAATTGTTTATAAGAGACCATACTTCAACAAACGATACATATTGGATTAATGCCCTTCTTTTTAAAAGGGCAAACATTATGGACTTAGGAGATATTCCCATCACATACCCCTTCATGATTTTCGAACATCAATGGTGACAAACACCATGGTCATCTCATCTAGCTCTTTATGTGGAGCTTATTTTAGATTGTAGGAAAATAGTTTACAATTGGAATTAGAACGTTAGTAACTTTTCCTGTCATCCATTTTCTGTGTGAGCTTTTTTTCATTCAAATTACAAACTAACTACATGATATAATAAGAATCCTAACAATGACCAGCAGTATAGGAAACTTGTTCATAAACATAAGTTCTGTATTCTTAGTTTAAAGTTTCCTGCAATCATTATTGTGAGGATGTGATTATCAATGCTAACACTACTTTCCTGACATCATTGCTTTCATTCTTGCCATCTAAAAGATCCCTCTGTTTTGTCATTATTGAGGTGCATTTTAGGTATGAGCAAAATGCATCAAAAATACAACAAAGTTTGCTTTAGTTCCTATTTAATGTAAACATTTTTCAAAATTTTCTTTTTATGTAACAAAGTTTCATAGTTTTCTATTTTTACTCTTTTTGACCCATAACTTGGTGATCTTATAACATTTGATGACATGGATGTCAAGTTTATTGTACACTTTGTCGTAGCCCTTTTTGTAAACATTTCATAGACCTCTTGTAAATAGGCAAGATGGGTCAAATGGGTACAAAATAAAATCGTTGTTGTACACTAAATAGGAACTGAACCCAACTTTGTTGCATTCTGATGCATTTTTCTCTTTTAAGATATTTCACTAGTATTCAAGGACTTTGATACAAAGTGTTTAGTTAAATATAGCAATTATTTTAGGATGGATGTTATATAAATTTCCCTCTTAAAATTGTTATAATATGGACAATAAGTTTGATGACAGCATCCTCTTCAACATACTCTAGGGTTACACTGTGGGGAATTATTGTGGCATTCATAGGGACTTTAACTTTAGCACATTGTCTTTTGTCAACCCTGTTTCAGTACGAACTTTCATAGGTATCACTTTTCTCTGTGCTAAATAAATTACTCAAATTGATTAATTGTAAAACCTTTTTGTACTCGTAATTTATGAATTATTATTGGAAATGAGTTTGGATGCTTGATGGTCTATTTTCGACCTGATCATTATGTTTGGTGCTTTTGTATATTGTAGGTTAATATTACATTCTCTGGAGACAAAAGCACCAAAGTTATTTTAAATGCTGGAAATGGGGATTGTGAACTTCGGATTGATGGACCTAAGACTCTGGCCGTCGACGATGCTTCAAAAATTGAAAATGGTGACAATACTTCAAAGCCAAAAGACGTCGAAAATCCTGCGGACAGTCCTGTGAAGCCCAAAGATAAAGACAGTCCTGCAAAACTCAAAGATGTCGATCTTGCAAAATCCAAAGAAGCCGAAGATATAGGAAAGCCCAAAACTGTCGACAGCCCTGCCAAGGACAAGGATGCCGACGATGCCGCCAAGACCAAGGATGCTGACGATGCTGCCAAGACCAAGGCCAAGGACGATGATGATGCAGCCAAGGGCAAGGCCAAGGATGATGACAATGAAGCAAATGGCAAGGCCAAGAACAAAAACGATGCCGCGAAGTCCAAGGACGCCGATGATGCCACTAAGGCCAAGGACAACGACAATGGTGCCACGGCAAAGGACGTGGACGATGCCGGCAAGGCCAAGGACGTGGACGATGCCGGCAAGGCCAAGGACGTGGACGATGCCGCCAAGGTCAAGGATGTGGACGATGCTGCCAAGGTCAAGGATGAAGAAGATGCTGCCAAGTTGAAAGGTAAGGTCCCTCCTCCCAAGACCGAAAGTGTGGATCCCCCTCCCAAGAGTATCGGCGTGGAAACTCCTATATCTCAAAACAACCTTCTCGACCAGTTATCCTTCTATTCAAAGCAAGTGACACCTATCTACGGAGCCTACTTCACTTTTCTTGTAGCTCTAGTTATCGGAGGGTCGTGGGCCATGTGCAGCTTCAGGAAGCGGAGAACCAATGGCGGAGTTCCATACCAGGAGCTCGAGATGGGACTCCCAGAATCCTCAAATGCCATCGATGTGGAAACAGCCGAGGGTTGGGATCAAGATTGGGATGATGACGATTGGGATGAAGATAAAGCCATACGATCACCGGGTGCTAGAATGATCTCGTCTAACGGACTTATGTCACGAGCTACGAAAAAAGACGGTTGGGATGCAGATTGGGAGAATTAGATTGCAGAAAAATAAGGATAGATAGAAAAAGATGGTGTATGATAGAAGTTTTGTTTTTGATTCATTATTACTTGTTTATGTGGTGTTCATTCTGAATATTTTGTTGGTTGTAAGTTGAAATGTCAGTTTTTTTGTCATACAAATTCTTCATACCAAAATATGCCTCCCATTAAGGAATAATAATGGTGCAGTTTCTATTTGGATGCTTGCCTCCTTTTAATTTCTGCTTCATTCTTGTTTTGTTTTTTTACGTTGGATAAACAATTTCGGTTCGAGCTCGAATAACTTTTTTACTGTTGGGCTCGGGCTCAATTCTCGTTTACGAGCTCGAACTCGTGATCCATTAACTCGTTTATTGGCTCCAGGTTGATAGTTTTTATATTTTATTGTATGATTTATGAACATACGAGCATGTTTGGCTCGAAAAGGTGTGTTCGAATGGCTCAACTTAACTCGAAATCTTTTATCAGGTTTTTGAACGAGTCGAGTTAAAAATTGGTGTTATGGAACTGGATTCATTAAGTTAAACGAGTTTTATTTTATGACTTGAGCTAGAGAATTACAAGCTTGAGCTCGAGTAGCTTGTTAGAAGCTTAACTCGTTTACACCACTACTCATTAACGTGTTGTATGATAAAAGAGTATTATCATGTCTAACAACCGTGCAATGTGTTTGCTGATGCAAAAAATTTCAATATGGTTTTGTATTATTGATTGAAATCTTTACGTCAACTGTTAACAAACACACATCTTCTTTGTTTTCGTTCACATAATTTGTTTTTTTTTTTTTGAAGTATATAATATTTATATACGGCAAATAGAATAAATAAACTCACACACTCTCCTCACTTTTGGTGAGGTTTGAACCCTTGACCTCCTAGAAGGCCAATGACTCACATACCGCTAGGCCAAAAGCCCTTTACCGACAGTGATCTCGAGAAAGTCATCATCTTTACCGACGGCATTCTCATGAAAATCAAAATATATTAATTTACAAGCACATAAGTGGGTCATCATAAGTATTATTGGCCCTCAATGGATTATAGTGGGTCTAAACAGTACCAGTATGGATATTATTGGTGCCTTAATGAATAATATTAAGCCTAATCGGGTTATAAAGGACCATCATGGGTCTATGTGGGTCATTATGGACCTTAACGAGACTTATTGGTCTTTAATAGATTATATTGGATCTAAAATGGTACTTAGACACATTACATACTTCAGTGGAGACCCAAGAATTTTTCTAAACGGATGCACATTTAAGGTAGATCAAATGGTAGTAAAAATCACGGTTGATGCCGGGGGGTGTGGGGTGGGGGAAGTCAAAGCGATTTGACCTTGATTTCGTAAAATTTTCTATTTCTTTAGGATTTGACCGTGTTCCAGCATTTTTATTGTCCTTTAATCTCTTTTGTTTTTAGGTTTCCAATTTTGTTTCCGTAAAACAAACCTAGAATTTAGAGTATATAAGACAAATCAATAATGAAATTAAAACAGTTTTAAGAAAAATAAGTGAACTATAAAAAATAATATGCTTGGAAAAGAGGAGATGATGGACGACTTATATATCATATGTATACATAATTAATTCCAAAGATATTCATACTATAAACTATATAACATCATTATACATATGTATAAAGATGAAGAATCATGTGAGAATAGGAGTTAAGGTAGGAATTGTAAGAACGGATCTAGACCCTTGATCACTTTTAATTTCACCACCACCCAATGAATTGTGCTTGATACGGGAATTGATTCAGTGCATCTTATTACTGTTGCTCTTCAATTATGATTGATCTAATGATAGAGATCTATTTTTACTATTAACTGATAAATACAAACATTATGTCTCATTAACGTTAGTTAGAACCTATTACTACCCGTTTAGAAGGTGCAAAATAAAAATAACACAAGTGCTGTCGATGATCTATTAAATCACCAACTAATTATCGATGATTTACTAGAAAAATTAAAATAAATGTTTTAAATATAATGTGGTCGGTGATCCGTAGGTAATCTAGTACCGCCACCGAGGAAAAATTCAAATTAAGTAAAAAACTTTGAAATACAATGTCGTTGGTGATCTTATCAGATCATCGACGAGATTACTTAAAGTTTGCCAGAAAAAAATAAATTTTATAAAAAAACACTTTCAGTTATAATCTTGTTGGTGATTATTTCCTATTACCAACTTATTATTACCGAGTGTTTATCAAAAAATAAAAGGAAAAATATATTACTTTAAATAACAACGGCAAATGATCGACGGTATTTTTATGGAAATTGATATTCGTTGTTATTTTGTTGCTAGTCAGCGACGGTCTAAGCCTTGTCGTTTATCTGTTAATAATCCAACTCTATTTTTTGGGTTTAAGAATTGTCGAAGAAGACTCGGTGATCCCTTAGAAATTCCCGATGGACAAGTCTGTTGGTAACCGTCCTTGATGATGTCGATTTTCTGATAATGTTAGACGATGACAGATCAAGAAATATAGTTATCGTTATACATCAAGAGTTGGGTTCCGGTGAGAATCTTTACCCAGATACACAACGTAGGCAAAGGTGGATATGTAACCATCTTTATCTCGTGCCAATCTGCATCAGAAAAAGGCATGTAATGTAGATGGAAAATTTTTGGTGAACAGTTAGCCCCATAGATTAGAGATGGCCAAATCGGCCCGGCCCGTCCCGGGACCGGGACCGGGATTGACAAAGGACCGGCCCGGGACCGGGACCGGTAAGGACTGGTTATGGGACCGAAAACAGGGACCGGTTGAGGTTTTTGGTAGTTTCGTGGGACCGGGACCGGTTATGGGACCGACTATGGCCCGGTCCGGCCCGACCCGAAAATTCAAATAATTTTATAAATAAATGTATTTTTAAATAATTTTATAATGTATTTTTATAAGAAAACGTAATTTTAATTATATTAAAATGTATTTTTAAAATGTATTTGAGTGACCCAATTGTAAATTTTATAATGTATTAAAAAAATAAAAAAAAAATCTTATTTTTTAATGCAAGGACCGGTTGGGACCGGGACCGGCGGCCCATAACCGGTTATGAAGTATCTTAACCGGTCTTATCATTTTCGACCGGGACTGGGACCGGTTACATCGGGACTGGTTATGGCCGGTTATGAGAAATGTTAGGACCGATTGGGACCGGACCGGCCCGGGACCGATTTTTGGCCATCTCTACCATAGATGATGGTGTAACGAAGAATCCTTTTTAATTCTACAAGTGATCCTCAATTGAACTTTGCATATATTGAACAAGTTTGTTGATCGAGAAGGCAACATCAAAGCGAGTAAGTCTGTGATACTAGAGATTGCCAATTAGAGTACGATAGTTTGTAGAGTCTTGAAGTGGCTTGCTTTTCAACCATAATGGATGATGAGTTGTAAGAGGGTTGGTAACTTTTTGCTTTGCGTAAGATATCCAAAATGTACTTCCATGGGATTAAGAATAAGATAATGTCATCCACATAGACCAACAAATAAGTTACTGAACCATGTAAATAAAGAGTGAACAAGGAGGAATATGGGATTATATTCTTCAACACTGAATCATGTAGAAATCACCAAAGCTCCTCGTACCATTCTTTTGGGGCTTGTTTGAGATCGTATAGTGACTTTCCATGCGACCTAAGTAACATGGGAAGTAGTGTAAGCCCCTGTTTCCAGCTAAGGTTTTTAGGCATTCAGTATTTCTTTATGAAAAACACAGTTCTTGGGCGATATTGGATGGTTATGGAGCCATGAAAGACGAAAACTATATCATCGGGATTGAAGATCTGAATCTATATCCATTGAATGCTAGTGTGAATTCATAGAAAAAAATGGAATTTTTACATTGTTATAGATTTTGATTGAGAAGCCATGTCTAAACATATTATTTCTTCTCTTTTTTGCTTTGTTTTCTACTATTCCAACATGAACTAATCTTTGGATGTTGGGGGTTGAATGATTTTTGGTTTCTAAGCATAAAAATACTTAAAGTTGCGATATTTATTGGGGTTTTTTTTAATATATTAATGAAGCATCTAGATTTGTGTTTAATGTCTTTGTCAGTTTGATTAACTATCACTTGATTTATTTGTCAATTGTTGATTTATTTGTCAATTGTTAATTTATTTGTCATAAATTAGTTTTCGAAAAAATAATTTATGATTAGTTTCATGATTCATATGCCTAAGATGAGAACTTGGATAGAGATACATGTATTAAACCTTAGTATTTTTAAACAATCTTGGCCTAAATGAAATCCTATGTTGACACTGAGAGATAAAAACTCTATTTTCAAGGGATAAACCTTTTATAATTCGAGAGATATGTAATTATTTAATTTGATCATTATTGCAAAGGAAGTGTTCTATGCGACAACCATTATGATTCCAACTCATAACTGTTTTTTTCTTGATAAAGTTTTCAAACTTTATTTTATGAAGTTCCTTAAGTTTGTTATTTTTTTAATTGGATAATTAATTATTCAACCAAATCATCTTAATAGACATTCCAATTAATAGAAGTCATAGTAGTTAAATTTAGGGGGTGTAAACTGGTTCCTATCAAGTTTTTGACATGGTTGTGGGGAAGTAACAACATTCCTAGCTTATGTCGAATTAAACATCCCATTATATGAAAACCTCTTACAGTTAGAAATCCACAAAGAAAGTCCAAACTCAAAACCAGGCCTAGCAAGCCCGTTTTTCTTTGCTTACCGAATAATCCTTGGGCTTGATGCATCTCTACTTACGGTGCAAGAACAAGATGAAGACACCAGAAAGGTCGTAACTAACAAGACGTACTATTTACTTATCAACATAATGATACTGATGTGCAAATCTTTAAAGGATTCTAATGAATCGATGATTCTCATTGATACCTCAAGATAAATATATAGGAGTACAGCCCTAAATACATTCCTAATTTACAGGATTTACAATTAATCTAATCCCTAAATAATTGGTACAATATATATATGCTAATATTCCCCCGCAGTTTGAGCGGGAGGATGTCGAACGCTCAAACTGGTCTTAAA